GAAACAACTGTACTTTTTCTCTGCATGCCAGCTACATGAACCCTTTATTTCCTTGTTATTTAAATCTGCTTGGCTTCCAGTCAGAAGCAGTCTATCTGATGCCATCAGGTTAAAATCTTGTCATTATTTTATTTCAATTATTTCTGTTATTCTAAGAAACTTGAAATAGCATTTCAGTAGCTTTTCAATTTTGTCCAGAATTTACTGAGCCAGACATCATTTTATTTGATAGCTATTATTAGGGAAATAATAATAGATGCCACTTTTACCTGGCCGAACTGTTCTAATCATTTTTACACGTATTAACTCATTGCATGTCCTCAGCAATCCCGTGAGATAAGAAATGTTATTATCTTCATTATATAATAACGTTTAACTCCAGCCCATTTCAAGAAAGGAAAAATACAATTCTCCAGGGCTATGCTGTCCATCATTGTAGCCACCAGTGGCCACTGAGCACCTGAGATGTGGTGTAAATATAATGCTGTGCATACCAGATTTGAAAGGCTTTGTATGAATAAAAGAACACAAAATATCTCATAAGTACACTATAGATTATCTGTTTAAAATAGTTTGGATATATTGTGTTAAAACATATGGTAAAAGGCTGGGTGTGGTGGCACATACCTGTAGTCCCAGCACTCAGGAGGCTGAGGCAGGAGGATCGTTGCGAGTTTGAGGCCAGCCTGGGCTACAAAGTGAGCTCAAGGCCAGCCTGAACTGCATAGCAAGACCGTCTCAAAAAGACAAAAATTTAAATTAGAACATATGGTAAAAATTAACTTTATTTCTTTTTGACATCTTTGTGTGGCTCCTAGAAAAACGTTGAATGATCTATGTGGCTCAGGTTGGTATTGGACAGTGCTACACTACTGTGGTGCACTCCTGGACCAGCAGTAGCAGCGTCACTCAGAAACTCTACATTAGAAACCGACTGAATGAAAAACCCAGGGTATGGGGCTGGGGATTTAGCTCAGCGGCAAAAGCGCCTGCCTGGCATGCCCAAGGTCCTGAGTTCGGTTCCCGGTACCAGAGAAAAAAACCAAAAAAAAAAAAAAAGAAAAGAAAAGAAAAAGAAAAACCCAGGGTGAGGCCCTGAATCTGTTATTACAATAAGCCTCTATGTGGTTCTTTTTTTTTTTTTTTTAATGAAAGCTTTATTGGGATATAAGTCACTTGTTTAATTTGGTGGTTTTTACTATGTTTAATTTGGTGGTTTTTACTATGTCCATAGAGTTGTGCAAACATCTAACTTACAACATTTCCATCACCACAAAAAGAAATCCCATTCCCATTGTCAGTCACTCCTCATGCCCCATGCCAGCACCCCCAGTCGCAGGCAACAGCTAAACTGCCTTCCTTCTCTACAAATCCCTCAGTCTGGATACTGCAGAGGAATGGAGTCCTACGGGATGCAGTCTTTTGTGACTGGCTTCTCACACTAAGCAACCTATTTCCCCCTGATATGCTAAGTTCTGAAAACCGCTGCTTTAGGGAAGAAATGGAAATGAAGCAGTCAGTCAGAGAGCATGTGAAAAACAGAGGGTATAAAAAAACAAATACCTTGATCATAAGACACAGAAAAGGAAAGAGACTAGCTAGACATAAATAGCAAAAGGTGAAAAGCTTTTCATGTGGGAAAACAAGCTATCACTTTTGTTCCCAAAGCCTAGGAAGGATGGCATGGAGGCCAAATACAAGTATACACTAATTATATTTCTGGTTTTGCTCTGTTAGAGCTTTAATCTTTTTAAACTCCTCATTTTATCCAAGAAATGATAGTTAAAGCCATGATAGTAGGTCACATTACCAAAGTAGGAAGATTGTACAGCAAGAAAAGGCCGGCACTGAGAACATAACGTTGGGAGAATCTTACTCTAGGCAGTTTACAAAAAGGTTCATGTTCCTTTCCTCCCTTAAATCTGGCCATAATCCTGCAGGGAAGTAGTCAGTATTGCTATGTTAACTCACAATTAGTGGATCATAGTTAACATGACTAGTGATGTACTGATACCCTTGATGTGTGATAAGGGCTTTTTACCTGAGGCCGTCCTCTCAAAAATTGGTAACTTCAGTTTCATCATGAGAAAAATCAGAAAACCCATACTGAGAATATTCTATGAAGTGTCTAACTACAGTCGTACTCCTTAAAACAGTTAAAGTCATCTAAAGCAAAGTATGCAAAACTCACAATCTAGCAGAGCTTAAGGAGACATGATGAGAACTCCGAGGAGCTTTGGAAAAAGCTTTTTATTTTTTATTTTTTGCGGTACTGGGGATCGAACTGAAGACCTTGCGCTTGCCAGGCAGGTGCTTATGCCATTGAGCTATATCCCTAGCCCTGGAAAAAGCTTTTTAGTCCACATTAAAGTCAAATGAGGAATGAAAGGTTATCTTTTCACTGGACAAGTTGTTGGTCTACACAAAACATTCTGGATGGTGGTGATAGGCATAAAAGATCCCAAGTATTGTCAACTCAAAGAAAAAAAAGTGTTTAACAAAAAAAGACAGGATGGGAAAGGTGGAAGGAAGCGGAGGTTCTTGACATTTTTGAACATTCTATCAACCCATTCTACAATCTAGTGCCTGTCATGTCCGGTAAGGTTTTTGTGTTTTATTACCAACAGCATCTTTACTGGTAAGACCCTCTTCAGTTACATTAAGGTTTATAATTGTGCTACGGACTGAATGCTTGTGTCCCCTCTCATTCATGTTTCAATCCCACCCCTAGTGTGATGGTATTTGGAAATGAGGCTTTTGGAAAGTAATTAGGTCATAACTCTGGAGCCCTCCAGAACGGGACCGGTATTCTTGTAAGAGATGAAAAACCATTTCTCTTGGCCATAGGAGGACCTAGCAAGCATCTTCTACAAGCCTGGAAGGGATCTCAACAGACACTAGGTTTGCTGGTGCCTTCTCCTTGGCCTTCTCAACCTCCCAAACTTGGAGGAATAAACTGTTTAAGCCATCCTGTCTATAGTATTTTAGTTATAGCAGTCTGAACAAAGAGACACTTATGCAGTTCTCAAAATACCGTGCAGGGAAGCCTCAAGTGATTGCCCCTCAGCTATAGCTCTTGAACACCTTCATCAGGAGTCCTAGACTGATATTCTACACTATAAGCCAATAGTACCACTGTCTCATGAAAAACAAGAAAACTTCTTATGCCCCACTTTGCCCTTTTCTATCAGCACTCCTCAAAAAAATTTATTTGGAGATGAATTATTCTAATTCCTAGCAAGGCCTGGCCACACGTTTTCTTAATGAATATAGGAATGGATTGAAAGAATAAGGATTATCTTTAGGCAAGATTTACTTAGCAAGTAGAGAAGTCTTCTTTCCCTAGCAAAGAAGTTTAAATTACTAAATTTATGAATCTAATTGCCCTCCTGTTGCAGGAAAAAGTGAGTCAACAGTAGCCAGAAACTCAGGAGAGGAAAAATTTTATTGATGCTAGCGGACCCCAGAGGAGTAATCTCCAAAGTCTGAAGCAATGATTACAGAGAGTTTATTTATAGGATGGCAAAGAGAAGTTACAAGAACAAGTTAAGTTTTAGCTGAAGGTTATGGTACAATGGGTATTTTCTGTAGGGAGCACAGTTGTACGTAACAAAGTTGTTTGTTCGTTTTTGTCTTTTTCAGACAGAGTCCCGATATGCAGTTCAGGCTGGCCTTGAGCTCACTTTGTAGCCCAGGCTGGCCACGAACTCACAACAATCCTCCTGCCTCAGCCTCCCGAGTCCTGGGATTACAGGTGTGCGCCACCATCCCTGGCTGCAGTTGTTTTTATCACATTTACAGAAGTCTCGATTTGATGACAAATCATGATTTAGCTGAGTTGAGTGGCTGAGAAGAGAATGACTGCAGCTTTACTGAGCAAAATAGCTGCAAGTAGGTCAGGATTTCTGCTTCGCTATTTGATACTTCTAATCTTTAACACGTGAAGCTGGTCTTCATAAATTCTCATGACTTTTTCATAATTGGCCTTTTTATTCTCTGTACTTTATCTACCGCAATCTTTTACTCCTTATTTACTGTCCTCCTCCCACATTTCCCAGTTCTCTAACCATACACACTACCTGCTTGCCAGGCTGTACAGCATCACAGCTGCTCCTGGTTCAGATCAAACCTGCAAACCCTTTCAAATCCTTTTGGTACTCTCTAAGGGCAGCCTTTTGTAAGAAAGAATTTCCTAGGCAGAAATTTACAAATTAAAGTCTTGTTTAAAAGTTATTTTATTTGAGTCTGTAAGTACTGCTAGTTGCTTATATTGCTTATGTGAATCCATTTCATCCAAAAAGGAAATGTGAAGTGCTTCCAGTGGCGCAAGAACAATTGGCATGGCCTATCCACCAGAATCTGTAGAAAACCTAAACTGGTTTAAGTGTTATGAGTAGTGTTTTGGGTGTTTTTATTTTCCGGGCCATAAGAGATCTTCAAACTCACTTTCATTTTTTTTTTTTTTTTTGGTTTTTCTCCGGTACCGGGAACCGAACTCACGACCTTGCGCTTGTCAGGCAGGCGCTTTTGCCGCTGAGCTAAATCCCCAGCCCCTCACTTTCATTTTTTGAAACCCACCAAATGTCAATTGCAACAGGCAAGCTGACTGAGCTGATTTCTAGTAACTACATTACGTTACCAGTGAATAGGACTCCTGGCATCATGGAGACCTAGGGTAAATAAGATTTCTGTAAGTAATATATGCATCGCTTGTGCAGGAGTAAGTGGGTGCCCCTTGAGCAGTCTTGTGTTAAGACCGGCACTGAGATCCAAGAACCAAGAGCACCATGGGTGAACTCACTGCAAGTTTGCACAACAGGAAACTGTGCAGGTATAGTAGGGTTTAATTTTTTTTTTTTTCCGGTACTGGGAATCGAACTCACAACCTTGCGCTTGTCAGGCAGGCGCTATGCCGCTGAGCTAAATCCCCAGCCCCAGGAAGGTTTAATTTTGAGGTATAATCTAAATACTAAGACAATGACGAGATCTTGACAATTTAGACTGCCTTCAATTCATTGAAGTTATTTTACATGTCTACCTGCTTTCTTTTTCATAGGCTAGTTGGAGGATTAAATGAGAGATAGTATGCTACAGCCTTGTCTGCTGTTTGAGTATCCAGCAAACAGTCTACCACTCTTCTTCCTCATTCCCAAATACATGAAATTAGTCCTTGAACTTTAAAAGAATTTTATAAATAAAAAATTAGTTTTCTGTCAGTGTCCTTGACAGCATGATTCTGAACGGTTCTCAAGAGTACCTTCTCTTTTGTAAAATGAACACTTCATACCGTTTGAAGTACATGTGAAGTTGCAAGTTTGTTCGGTATTCCTTACCTTCCATCCTGAAAAGCTATTTCTGAGGAACGGAAACCCCAGAAGATAGCTCCCGGAAAAATGTTAATTTTTTTTTTTTTTAAGAAATGATGATTCAAAGGAAGACTTGAAGAGAGGTGCTATTTAGGAACTAAAAGGCAGCAAATGCAGCCTCTGAAGGGAACTGTTCAAATTATCACCTAAAAAGTAAAGTTACACAACTGTACTCAAGGTCATAAAATAAAGCACTACTTTAAAACCAGAATGAAAGAAGAGGCAAAAAACCAAAACAACAGAACAGCTGAAAAGGAAGGGAAAAGGACTTAAGAATGATTTGAGTTGGAACATAGATCCATCAGTCCTCCGTGTCTGCTTTCTGAGCATCTTGAGTCACATCATTCCTGCTTATTTCCATCCTCACTGACATCTCAAAGGCAGAGTTCACTCATTTTGTTAGGACTCAAAATTTCAATCCAGTAGCCGTCAGGATCTTGAATAAATGCCAGGCCTTTCATTTTACCTGTAAAATGAAATATTTCATTACTGGAAACATAAAAAAAAAAACAAAACACAACAACAAAAAACCAGCCCTCCTACAATAAACCTGGGACTGGCTGCTTCTGTTAGACAGCATTGGTAACAGGTGTTTCCCTCACTTTCACGGTACTGTTTCATGAGACCAGTTCAGCAGTCACAGAAATTAAAGAAGCTAGACACGATGGCATGTGCCTATGATCCCAGCTACACAGGAGGATGAGGAAGAAGACCCCTTGAGCTAAGGAGTTCAAGGCCAGCCTGTACAACATAGCAAGACTCCATCTCAAAAAATCAAAGAAATAAAAATAGGAAGGTGCTCAATAGAGCAGGTCATGTCCCTTACCCAAACAAACCAAACACTAGCTGCTTGGGTCATACAAACCATTTTAAACAGCTGTACGAAGGCTCTGGGTTAAATCCCTAGTATGGGGGATGTGGGGAATGTTCTTTACCTTTTCCTTAGCCTTCAGAAGCAAGGTGCAGTGCTACACACCTGTAATCTCAGCACTGAGGGAGGAGGCTCACAAATTCTGAGTCCTGTCTGGGGAAATTAGTGGGACCCTGTCTCAAGATAAAAACAAAAAGGCCTGGAAATGTGGCTCAATATTAGAGCAGTCCTGGGTTTGCTCCCTGGTACCACAAAAAACTTTAGAAATCAGGCCCTTTCCCTATGTAAAACAAAACAAAACAAAAACCTCAATAAAAATGTGCCATAATAAATCTACTGTTTTCCTTGAAATACAAATTTGATGTGGACCATCTTCCCTCTTCCCTTTGCTTCCAAAAATATCACACAATCCCAGTCCTCTGCTGATCCCACCAGGCAAGCTAAGCTGTACCAACCAGATTCTGTCTCCCAGGAATTCAAAACTAGGATGGAGAGGCGAACTGGTCAGGGTTTGCTTAAATGCAGATACGTCACCTGAGAAATTTATGTTGGGACCAAAAAGTGGAATTGGTTTGATTTTTATCTGTGGCTCCAAAGGAACACAGATGAGAAAGCAGAGAGAAAAGTGGGAAGCCTTGGGAGGGACACCCGAGGAAAGGCTGGGTGGGGCAGGCTGGCTGAATCTGTGTAGGAGGTGCTGGTGCAGGCTCAAGCCAGAAGGCAGCACATCATGATTGTGGGGGAAAAACAATTTTGTTTAAGCTCTCCCAAGTGCCTTGGGCATCCGCACTACCCTTGCCCTTGTAAGGAGGTCGGGCCACTGGTTCAGACATCTTCAGGAGTAAATAAGGGTGGTACAGACAGCTTGTACTTGTGAGGACCAAGAAGAACAGGTGGGGACCAGCTCATCTTCCCAGCTCTCCTTCCCCCACTTCCAGGCCCTGGGATGACAATCTCAGAGGTGTCTATTACTAATAGTGCTTTTCCCTAAGGGACAAAGGGAAAAGATCTGACCTGAAGGGGTGTTCTGTGATATGTTTGACACCCCTTTCCAAGTGTCCAGGGATCTCAGCCCTTAGCTTATTCTGCCTGTCTTTCTGAAATCATTTAGGTAGGTAAGGACTGGGTTCTGGCCTTCCCCCAATCACACTGATGGAATGAAACAGCTAACAGTTGCAGAAACACATGCGCACGCGCGTGTGTACACACACACACACACACACACACACACACACACACACACACGGAGGCCAAAATAGTAAGAACCTGAGAAATACAACTATGAGAAGCTCCAAAACAATGCTTGTAGAGTCAACTACAAAATGAAATATTAGAATGGACCAAGAATTATTAAAACATGAAAAATGATAAGCAGTATGAAATGTTACTGATATTAAATAAGAACGAGAAAATATTAAAGGGACAACCACAAATTAGAACATTATAATAGATTTGGAACACAATAGGTGAGTTAAATGTCACAACAGATACAGTTGGGGAAAAGTCTGAACAAACACTTCAGAAAGAAGTTAAGGACAAAGCATAAAAAAGCTTTCAGAACAAAGCAGAAGATACATGAACAGTATACATAAAAGAACATGAGTCACACTGGCAGCAGATTTTTCAATACCACTGTGTGCAAAATGACAATGGAGTAGCATTTTTAAGACTTACAGAAAATAAACCTAGTATGGGGGGTGAGGGGAATGTTCTAGGATTTTCAACAAAACTGTCATTCGCATATAGGCATGGTATTCAGAATACAAACACTCAAGAGTTTTGCCTTGAAAACTTCTTGAAAACCATTTTATTTGGGGTACTTCATACAAAGACAGAAAACTTCACATTACAGCAAGAGATATACAGAGAAAGATGATAAAAATATCAACATATTTATTGATATATTTTTAAAAGCCAAGGGCAACCCACTCAGGATCATTTTTGTCTCTCTCAGACACAAGCTTTCCTCCCCCTTATAAATATATTCTGCTGTTAACCTCCATTGTTCACATGAATTCGTATAGCAGGTTGGGAGTTTCTTTCCCCTACATCATTTGAAGGTCTTCCATTGAGATTATTGGATGGAGGTAAGAGTTTGCTTTTGTTTCATAGACTCTGGATTGGGGCTCATTTAGGTAACAAATTTTTTTTTTTTTTTTTTTTTTTTTTCTCCGGTACCGGGAACCGAACTCACGACCTTGCGCTTGCCAGGCAGGCGCTTTGCCGCTGAGCTAAATCCCCAGCCCCTAGGTAACAAATTTTTATGCTTCAAATTTTGTTATAGCTTTGTCCACTGCTTATCATCACTTATGCTTTGTCTCATATAGTTTTGTTAAAATGATAATAAATCTAAGTTAAAGGGGCTGGGGATTTAGCTCAGTGGCAAAGCGCCCGCCTGGCAAGCGCAAGGTCGTGAGTTCGGTTCCCGGTACCGGAGAAAAACCAAAAAAAATAAAAAAATAAAATAAATCTAAGTTAAAAACATGGGAAGGTTAAAAGGCTGTGATACTCCTTTATGGGTCTTTGTATTCCTGTTTTGCTCTTGTGTATGTTGCATTTGAACTAATTAACTAAATTTACTGGCATTCCTTGCTTGACTTTATTTAGACAATAGTGCTAGAGAATAACATTAGAACGCCCCCTAGTGAACTGTAATATAAACTTCTGTAAAATGGGTCTTTCTAAATAAAATCTAGCTCAGACTTAGAAAAATATACATGCACATATACTAAAACATGAGACTCCTTCCACCAGGTAAAAATGCTTGGTCAGTGGCCGTTCTTAGGACTTGGAGGGCAGGTTTCACTGGGACAGACTGGCTCTGATCCTCTTTTACATTCCAGAGGAAATGTCAAGTCTGTTCTGCTTCAGTTTCCTTTCTCTGGCCTTACTCCTAATCTTTTTCTGCCACTTTGTACTTTCCTTTTTAGAGGATGTAAAATTAGAAAGAAAGAACTCTAGACTGTTCAAACCTTTTCCTCCTATTCAACTAAGTTAAGCCCATAGAAAATGAGTGTTTGCTAATGCTGAGGCCAGGAAAGTTCTCTTAGAGGAGGGAAACACACCCTGTCTCTGGGTCAGATGAGATATTAGAATTTTGCCCATCCAAGAGAACACACACAGAAGCCATGTCCCGGCTTAGTGTCCTGGGCAGGTCTCCCTTGGGAGACTAAACCGGAGACACAGTAGAGAGAAATGGCTTCTGGGTGAAACCAGAAGGAGCTACTTCCAAAGCACCACACTTACAGTACCAAAGCACCACACTTACAGTACCAATGCACATTTAACCTAAGGGAGAATCTCCAACCTTTCCCCTTCCTCTCCTAGGTCTTGTTATCACTTATGTGTAAAGGAAAAAATACTTTGCTAATGTTGTAGACTTTAAAACCTTTATTGTAAACTTATAAAGCGCTAGGTAATGACCTTACTCAGACTATTAACTATCCCTTATACAACTCTGACAAACAGTGGTTACTCTGCCAGCTAGTTAAACAAATGCTCTTACAGCAGCTGCCACTCTTAAAGTTGAGGACAGATTTCCCCAGCATCTCTTTGGTGAATCCCCATTGAAGCCAATGGCCAATGGCATATTGCCCAGACAGACAACTGGACTCCCTTCTCTGGTTGTGCGGGCCAACAGGAACTAAGAACAACTGAGAGGTCACGGCCAAGGCTACTTTCTGGCAGATACCCAAAGGTTCTTCAGTGGAAACTGGCTCCTGACCACAAAAAATCTCCACTTATCTATCATACTTACCTCTCTCTACTAGTAAGCTAGAAATTCTCCTTAAGCTTGACTTTAGAACCACTTAAGACTACCCCTCCTTTCACAAATTAGGCTGAAGCAGCTTGCAACAACTGTTTGCATTTCACAGCTGCTAGCAGGGGGATTATGTACATTTGGGCCTTACATATGCTAACTAAGAAAGAGATTTAATTTAATTTATTTATTTATTTATTTTGGAGACAGGGTCTCACTATGCAGTTCAGGCTGGCCTTCAGCTGAGTTTGTAGCCCAGGCTGGTCTCAAAGTCGCAATGATCTCCCTACCTCAGCTTCCCGAGTGCTGGGATTACAGGCGTGTGCCACCATGCCCAGCAGAAAGAGATTTTAGTCAGCTTTTTCTTTCATGTGTACATAGAAGACTAATGTGCCTTTACTAACATGTAAAATGTGACTGCTAGATGATAAATCTAAGTTTAACCCGTGAGTTTCAAAGATATAAAAACTTACATAAAGCACAGTGTTGCCCTGCTGCTAGGAAAGATTGCCTAGGTGATTAGATAACACAAGTGTCTTAAAGACTTCTTTGCCCTAGACCCCAAGGTGAAATTCCTCAAGTCAACTGTTGTTTTTATCTATCTCCAGAGGTGATCTTCACAGCACATCTGGAGAAGTGCTCTACTTCCAACTCACCTTTTTTGTTTTTTGTTTTTCTGTTTTTTTTCTGGTACCAGCAATCGAACTCAGGACCTCGCGCTTGCCAGGCAGGCGCTGTGCCGCTGAGCTAAACCCCCAGCCACAAAAGCAGACTGTCTTTTTTTTTTTTTTCTTTTCTTCTGGTACCAGGAATCAAACTCATGACCTTGCACTTTCCAGGCAAGCTCTGTGCCGCTGAGCTAAATCCGCAGCCCCCCAACTCACCTTTTTATATATGCCCTCTTCTAAAGAACAAACAGCAATAGTTCTTACAAAGTTAGGCTTTCTTCTTTAAACATTCCTATCATAATTAAGACCAACTGTAACTTGTGCTTATAAGCACCCAATGGAGTAAGTTCACAAGTTCCCTGGGAGGATAAATTTGTACCCCAGTTTGAGGGTGGATAGGCTGGTTGAACTTTGTCTTTTCCTCTCTTCAGATCTAATCTACTCGAGGGACACCTTGAGGGTACTGAAATCAAATAGAAATCAAAGGTGGGTGCACAAATTATTTCTTTTTGTATTTCAGACATGGGGTATTCAAAGTCAAAGTCTTTTACTCCTTCAGAATGTATTCTTAAGCACTGGAAGATATTTGACCCTTACGTGTTGAAAAAGAGCCGTTTGATATTTTTCTGCACATGTATGTGGTCTGCCTACCTTGTACAGCCAAAATGCAATGCAAAGGGAAGTATTAATTATGATGTTCTTTTACAACTAAAATCATACTGCAAAAAAGAGGGAAAATGGTCAGAATTGCCTTGTGTTCAAACTTTATTTACATTTAGAAAAAATTATTTATGCTCAAATTATAATTATAATTCATATGAGACTATACATGTTTATATGTCTCTTTCTCTCAGTGACTTAAAGCAGATCAAGGTAGAACTAGGAAAATTTTCAGATAATCCTGATAAGTACACTGATGTCTTTAGAGGATTTACTCAGACCTATAAGCAAGGCTGGAAAGATACAATGTTGATATTAAACATTAACTTCTTTTTTTTTTTTGGTTTTTCTCTGGTACCGGGAACCAAACTCACGACCTTGTGCTTGCCAGGCAGGCGCTTTTGCCGCTGAGCTAAATCCCCAGCCCCAAACATTAACTTCTAATGAGAGACAACCAGCATTACAAGCTGGTATTACATTTGGGGATGAATATCATATTGTTAATTTTAAACAGGCAGAAGTTAGACAGCCAGGGGAACAAACAGTTCCGACTGGAGCCCAAGCAGTCCCCACCCAAGATCCCAGAGGGCCTAACAGCCAGACAGCAGATTGGAGCAGGAGACATTTTCAAGTCTGTATTCTTTTCTTTTCTTTTTTTTTTTTCCGGTCTTTTTGAGACAGAGTCTCACTATGTAGTTCAGGCTGGTCTTGAACTCACTTTGTAGCCTAGGCTGGCCTCGAACTCACAATGATCCTCCTGCTTCAGCCTCCCAAGTGCTGGGATTACAGGCATGTGCCACCACGCCCAGTTAAGTCTGTAGTTTTGAAGGTCTAAGAAGGACAAAAATCTAAGCCTTCTAGTTATTTTATTTTTTGTTTCTTGGGGTTTTTTTTTTTTTTTTTTTTTTTTTTCTTGTACCGGGGATTGAACTCATGACCTTGCGCTTGCCAGGTAGGTGCTGTGCTGCTGAGCTAAATCCCCAGCCCCCTTCTAGTTATTTTAAATTGTCAACTATTTATCAGAAGAAAGATGCAAACCCTTCCGCCTTCTTAGATTATTTACTAGAGGCACTGGTAAAACATATGTCCATAGCTCCTGATTCAACAGAAGGACAGATTTTGCTTAAAGACATGATTATTACCCAGTCAGCCCCAGATATCAGAAAAAAAGCTACAAAAGATAGCTTTCGCTCCAGATAGCTCACTCGATACTTTAGTAAAAACTGCCTTAGTATTTTATAATCAGGACAGGAAAAAGACAAGGAGAAAAAACAAAGAGACCAAGAAGTGGCTGCCTTTGTTGCAGCCTTAGAGAAAAAACAGACCCTAAGTCTGATTCCTGGGACTCCCAGGGGAGCTCAATGACTAGGCTCAACTGCTACTACTGTGGAAAGCCAGGCCACCTTAAGAGGGACTACCTCAAGGGGTCCCCTAAGCCATGCCCTAACTGCAAAGGCTGCCCCTGGAAGTGAGACTGTATTCTGAGGCAGGGCCCCAGAGCTCAGATTCCTCTTCCCAGGTGGTCTAGCAAGACTAAGGAGCCGGGCACTCCGCCTCCTCCCTCTGGCTGGACTGCCATCTCTACTGGTCACCTCCGTGGAGGAGCCCTGAGTAATCATTACTGCAGAGAAGAAAAATCAGCCTATTGCTAGGCATTGGCACATGTCTCTTTGTCCATCTCCAACTCTGGCCATCCTTCCAGGCATCATCTCCCAGTAAAAACAGTCACTAAAAAATATCTCGCTTAATCTGAAACTGGGATAACTTTCTCTTCACCCATTCCTTTCAGTTATGCCTAAAAGCCCAGCTCCCAGACATTCTATCCTGTCTAAACACTTTTTTATACATATATTACTTTCATATTATATATGAAAGTATACTTATTTATACTTTTATATTACATGTAAATTTATATATGTATTTATTACAATTTATGATATAAAGTTATATATATATATATATATATATATATATATATATATGTGTGTGTGTATCCAGGTTGAAAAATAATGAAAACAATGCTGAGACTGGTTTTTACAAACTGATTTTTACAAACTGCTGAGACTGGTTTTACAATACATATTGTTGTTCATATACAAAAAAAGAGTTTTTTATTGGTCAAAATATATCTAGTTCTCATAAGTCATCAAAAATGTAGAGATAATTATAACCAAAGCTAGAAGGATTTATGACAAAATGTCAGGCTCCATCAATAACGGGGTCTAAAAGCCAATGGGCTACAACTGCTACTCCACTCCCTTAAAAACAGTTTCTAAACATATCTGTCAGCTCTAATGCTCATGCTTTGATTATACATGCTCCAATTTCTCGGAAAATTTACTCTTGTCTACAGGATGCCAAATCCCAAGATCCACCAGATCTTGTCCAGAGAGAGGGTTATATGACACATATCGAGGCCTTAACTAACTATACTCAACAGGTTTTAACTGACACCACACCTGGTTTCTCTCTCTTCTAAAAGAAATAAAATAATACGACAAGCTGTCCCCCAAATTTGGATGACATTAGCCATTCTAACAGCAGCATGGGATTACAATTTTTTTTTTTTTTTTTTTTTTTTTGGTTTTTTTCTCCGGTACCAGGAACCGAACTCACGACCTTGTGCTTGCCAGGCAGGCCCTTTGCCGCTGAGCTAAATCCCCAGCCCCTGGGGTTACAATTATAAAAATTAAATGTTGTGTGTACATTCCTGATCCTTTTGCTAATATCTCAATAGTTGTTCAAGCTATTAGACAACAAAACAATGGTATGTCAGGCTCTGAAATTCTCTGGACCTTATCCTTATCCTTTTTATGAGAAGCCCTTACCAGCTCCTCTTAGTGGAAATCTTTGTTGACTGTATTCACAATTATCCTGTTGATCCTATTATTTGGTCCATAATTATCCTGTTGATCCTATTATTTAGGCCATGTATTAATTGTTTCTTTGGCTTTGTCTCCTCCAAACTAAAAGCTATTTGCCTACCCAAGATGAAAATGTCTGGTGTCTATCGAGGGCCTTTAGACAGACCCTCTGTAGAGTATCTCTGACTGCCAATCAACAACTATGATCCCCTTCAGCCTGAAGAAGTCAGACTGGTCATCATCCATTACTCCCTCACGGCAGTTCGGGGTACTTCTTCAGAGGGGGTATGTTGCAGGTAGCTAAGTTAGATAAAAATCTTATAGGCTCCTCAAAGCAGCCAGTGCAGAAGAGATGCCCTGCAACTGTTGGGGAGACAGGCACCTCTGCCGTGGGCCAGGCCCTGAAAGATAAAACAAATGTACCCACATACTTCCTAAGGATAAATATTGGGGACTGACATTCTAAATGGCCATCAATCACATTGAAGAAACCAGAAAGAACCACTAACCCCACCCCGGACAAGAAAAGCCCCTGTTCTGTATTCATGCCTGCTTGTTACCTGACTCACTTCCCCATTTGATTCTGATTTAATTCTATCTGGGCAATTATGCTCATAATGTTACTGGTTGAACAAAATTTTGTCCCACCTCATGCTCACCTTGCAATTTCCCATTTTTCCTGACTTTGGACCTGCCTCACCTCGTGGATTTGCTCTATAAAAATCCCTAGAAAAGAGAGGGTCCTTGGCAACCCACTTGGGACGCCTTCTGTCTCTCTCAGACAAAAGCTTTCTTTCCCCCAATAAATATATTCTGCTCTTAAAAAAAAGAAAAAGCTAAGGCCAAAGAAAAAAGAAATGAGAAACATTGCAGTGTGGGTAACATGATGTTGATAGGGAGGAATAAATTATTTTCTTCCTGGAGAAATGATCTGGGTATTATACATTTTAATTAATGTTTCAAATCAAAATTGAAGTAATAAAATACAATGTTAGAAACAAAACTAAGTAAAATAATCATAATACATGTAAATCCAATGAAATCTAGATATATGCTATTCTAAAACATACATACACATAAAAGTTGTAAAATAAAGAAAAAGGAAACACTGGATAATTTACTATTAATAATTGACTTAAAGAAGCTTATTTTTGAGCGTCCAGCTTATATCCTGAAATAGTGAAACTAAGACTGGGAGAAAGAGCCTGAGCTAGTGATGGCTCTGCAGACCCTGGGTCCAGTCCCTTGTGAAGCATCCTAGGTGCTCTTTCAGTTTCCTAGAACACCCAGATATTCTCATAATTTTCCTTCTCTTTTAAGCAGGTTGAAGTCGACTTCTATTACTTGTACCTAAATGGGTTTTACTACGAAGTGCCATCTGTGGGTGTTTATAAACACTGCTTAACTGAAAAAAGGCATGAGCACAGTAAGCAGGAGACTCACCATCATCAGGTTTCTTCACAAATTTGACTCCCAGTTCTTCAAATCTTTTACAAGCACCATATACATCAGGAACAGCAATTCCAATGTGACCTTAGGTGACACCACCCCCCAAAAAAGAGGGAAGGAAAGAATAATTACAAGATGTTCAAGTGCCACAAGTGCAAAGCATAAGGCATTTGAAAACAGACTGATTTAAATAGATTTACAATCTATAACACACCAAACAACAACATCAGTATAATGGAATAATCAGTTGCTCTGAATAAGTTATTTTTAAAAATCAAGACTAGCTCATCTATAGTTCACTCTGTTACGAATAATCTACACCAGCTGGGCACGGTGGTGCATGCTTGTAATTCTCAGCACGCTAAGAGGCTGAAGAGGAGGAGCAAAAGTTTGAACCCAGCCTGGGCAACTTAGGGAGATTCTATCTCAAAATAAAAGAAAGAAAAAAAGTGGGAGGGCTGAGGATGTAGCTCAGGATAAAGGCTTTGGGTTCCATCTCCAACGTAAAACCAAAACAAAACAATACAAACAAGCAAACAAAAAGCACCAAAACAAGAACAATACTATACCAGTTAAAGAGTAATCATTTGCTCATATATAGTAGATTTGTTTTTGACATTGACTATATAGCAACCTACTGAAGTCTATAATTCTATTGTCCTGATTTGAGAGATTTTAGAACAAGGCAGAAGTACACACCTAACAGAGACAGGGATTACTATTAACCACGGCTGGGTTTTTATTAATTAAAAAAATCTACTGCAAATGTAATAGCGAGACTTCAAAGTAAAATCATTATGAGAATAAGTATGTTCAGACTAAGATTGTGAAATTATACAATCCTAAATAAGATTTATAGAAAATAAACTGCACTTCCACTTAATTGATTATACTTGATATTCAGGCCATGAATGCTTTAGATGTACACCATCCAAAAGCACATAAATCTATATATATTTGCATTACATACAAAGAGGCCAACATACCAAATCCCCGAGGGTCTGAATTACCATTGTGGTAATTCTGGCTGTCATCATCTTCAGTGCCCCAGTTGCTACAAAAGAAGAGAAAACATAATAGTTCTGTCCTATAGAACAGACATTCTGAAAAGAAACCTGTCTTTGAAATCTTACCAAATGCACACGCTACTTTATATACCCGGCTTGACCCCTGCTACTACAAATATTGAAATTCTCAACTGTACAAAGGGCAAGGAAATGTATGACTTTAAGTTGAAGAGACAGTAAAAAGAGGTACCTGGATAACAGCAATAATCTTTTTTTAAAATTTTTAAAAAAATTTTTTTGGTCTTCACTGGAGATCGGTCTGCCCTCTGAGGTGGAGGCCCCAGAGCTCAGACCCATGCTACCAGTTAGTCCAACAGGAATGAGAGGGCTTGGGGCATGGCCTGCCTTCTCCCTCTGGCCAGACCGTCATCTCCAT